CAGTAGCATAGTGGTCACTGGTGATCACCGGGTCTACTTCCCACTTCGCCTGATGCTTGAGTGCTGTGGAGATGAATGTAAGATCAAGGGAACCTCCTAGAATGTGAGTGGGTTCCCCAGTGTTGAGAAGTATAATTTCAGGTACTTCTCGCAGAGCTGGAGCTAAATGGCGCCCATCTGCATTGGCTGGCCCAGTCGCACCTAACTCTTGATGATGAGCATTAAAATCTCCAGCAATAATTACATTTTCCTGCGTAATTATTGAATCAGTAATTATTGATTTAGAAGCAGAGGCAGTGCTTGCCTTGCACTGCCTCTGCTTCTAAATTACGTCTAGGGGGCTTGTAAATGTTGTGTATTAGGAGCTCAATATTAGCCATATTCACTGTTACTGCTAATACCTCTACTCGATCCCCACATGAAACTGGGTCTATTTTCTTGCTAGGTATGGTGTTCCTGACTAGGGTCATTAACCCTCTTTGTCTCCCCCTGCTCATACGGTATAGCATAGTGCTGATATCCAGCTAATCTGAAGGATTTTGTGGTTGGGAAAAAGAGTTTCTTCCAACACGATTATATCTGCTTTTGTGCTGATTGCAGCCTCCTGAAGAGTGTGGTTTTTATTTCCAAGACCTTGTATGTTCCACTGCAGTATTCGTAATGGCCAGATGACGGTTTTGGCTGGTGTTGCCTCTTCTAGTAGAACTCTTCTTCGGAATCAACCTCTATATTCTCCACCTCACAAGTTGTGTCGCTGCAAATCGAACTGCTCTGATTGCTCGTGGTCATCTCTGGCATTGTTGGAATCTGTGCATAACTGTGGTCCATCGTTTTGCTGTTGGTATTGCTGCATGTCGGACTGTATTGATCGCTCAAGGCCGTTTCTTGTGTTGTTGGAACCTGTGCATCTCTGCTGTTCAATACGTCTTTGTTGGTGTTGTTGCATATCAGACTGCATTGGTCTGTCTCTTGTGTTGTAAGATTCTGTTGATCTTGGGTGATGACTGCTTCTTGCAATTGCTTTTGTAAATGTTGATGTTCTGGTGTCTTGACTATCCGACTGTTGTTGGTAGTCTGTATGTCCATGTTGCGTTGTTTGTCGTCTTGTGCTCCGTCTTATCTCAGACTGTCTATTTCTTGTGTAACTGTGGTCTGCTGAACGATCTTGTCCATTATTATACAAGTGATTTCTTGAGTCTGTTGTTGTGAGGCGTTCTGCGTCATCTGTAGGCAATTAATAATGGTCTCTGCCATGATCTTCATTATGTTTTTCAGCTGGACCTCAGTAAAACTATATATTTGTTGTGTTGATTTCGAAAGTGATTGATTTTTACTCTTTTGCATTTGCTGTATTTCTGCAGCACTTTTGTGTATTTTCTGATTTGGAATTAATAGATTCGGGAAATTTTGCTCTGTGAGAGTGGGTGTCTGTTGTGGCTGTGCACGAGTGTTCCAGACGATGGTGTTGGTGTATGTAGTGCTGGTCTGTGTTTATCCTGGCCTGAGCTGTCTGCACTTTTTCTTTCAGTGCAGAGCAGGTTGTGCTCCAGGCATGATGCTTGCCTTCACAATTTGGACATTTGGCTGTTGTGGCCTGGTTTGCCTTGTGCTTGGCTATACAGTCTTTGGTTGGATGTCTCAGGCTGCACACTCCGCATCTCTCCTGTCCGGTGTAGCGTGATTGATGGTGGCCGTATTTCTGACACCTGAAGTTCCGGGCAGGGGTTTCGGAATGTATGGTCTCTGTCGGTATGTTCCCTAATTTCCAAGATTGAATGTTTCTGGCACATGTCCCATGACAGTCACTAGAACCTGACATGTCGCTGCCTTGTCTACTTTTGTGCGGCATCGTTCTGCATTCAGGATTTGCTTGTGTTTCAGTACTGGATCCAGTGGGAAAATCAATTGGGTATCCCAAAAGCACGACTCGTGTGCGTCTTTCCAAAGGGTCCAGCTTTTCCAAGCATACAGGTTTCCCTTGCAGGACTCTTACTTTTTCTAAGTAATTTGCAGTCTGTTGGTCTTGTGATGTCATCATTATTTCTCCTTTCAGGTTGACTGTAATGGAAAGTTTGAGCTCTGGTTATTCCTTTTCCATTGCCGTTACTACTCCACATGCTGTAGGAAAGTGGTCTGTCTGCATTATCTTGAATTTTAGAAGATGTGCAGAGTCTGATGATGTCTGGTGTGAGACTGGTGGTGTCCTCTCCTGTCTCAGACTGTTGTCCTGTGGCTGGGCTGTGGAGAAAGGTACATTGTCTGACACTGGCTGGTGTGTGACTGGTGCTGTCCTCTCTAGGTCCATAATGTCTGCTGTCTTGTTGGTAGAGGCACGTGGTGAGGCCTCGATAGCAGTTTTCTTCGGTGCCTGCTGCACCTCGGTCCACTGTCCCTCCTCGTTTGAAAGCTGTCTCCATTGCCTCTTTCTATTTGACTTCTCCATGACTCTCAACTTAATGAGGACCGAATCACTGCCCTACCTAATGCCTGAGACACTCCTAGGCCTGGAGAAATTCATTCCCCTTCAACAGAGGTCGTAGAATGATTCCCCCAGGTGGAATCAGGAATATCTAACACCTAAATGAGCAAGTTTTGGTCTACCTTTCCCCTGTCAGACTCAGTACACCTTCTAAGGTGCTCCCTTGTCGCAATGCCCACGGGATATCACCTCGCCCTTCAGGGTAGGACTCTAAGTGACCTGGTCAGTCCTTAAAAAAAAAAAAAGTTCGGTACGAGAGTTTGGGTTGCCTGCGTACTGGGTTGTGCAGAATACCAGTCAGCTGGACAGCAGATAATCAACAACGTTGTTTCTCCATAAATTGTAGATGAAATCGGAATTGTTTCCTTCGAAACAAGATATTGTCTGGGTCTTGGAGTACTGATGTATTCTTCCTCACAAAACCACAATGAATTGAGCTGATGGGTGCTCAGACTCTAGAGTTTTTCCGGGAACAGATCCATGTGCGGCCAGCTAGCAATGGCACCAGCAGCGAGTCTCCTCCAGGGAGCTGACGGGGCTTCACACAGAAAACCCATCATATCCATTTGCCATATCTTCCATATTACATACTGCAGCCTCATGCACAATTGGCACCATACCACTTCGGTAAAATACTTGCAGCAGCATCCCAATTCTTTATACACACAGGTGTGCAGTACTTCCATTGAGTTGCCATTTAAGAAAATGTCAAACATTCACTATTTCCTACCCCAGGAGGCCTGTTCGGGGACTGGGCTGCAGGGACGTTGAGCACTGAAATCATCGCAAGGTACCCTTTTCCATGGGTTGTTCACATTTAATTCCCATTTCCTTTCACACACACCACCACCTATCTTAAAATTCACTTAAATAGACTATTCACCACTCGTATCAACCATTCATTTAATATGACTAAATCAGCTCAACTTTTATCACTCTTATGATTTATTAAAAACTTCACTCTACATCTTCCCTTGATATTTTCATTCCTTTCTGTCATTCTCCTAACACCATAAATGCATCTCATTGTCGCTTCATGGCTTAATACTTGATTTGATGTTCATTCCACACAAGTGCCTTACATCAGTACATAAGAATGGGAACTACAACTCTTTCATGCAGCCCTCCAAAATGGCCTTGGATATTCAGAGGTATTAACAGAATGGGTTTCTGCTGTTGATATGGCCCGTGTTACCTGTATTTAACATAGGTTTGTAAAGTAGCATACAAACTGGAGAGAAGCTGATTAATGCAGTTAATTTAAAGTATGTATGCATCACATATCATAATTACTGTACAATGAATAATAAGTAATTTGAGTTATTATATTAATACAAATGTTTGTATATTTTGGATGTATAGAATAGAGTGGCTTGTTAAGTGTAGTGAAAGTGGACAGTATTAAAAAAAATTACAAACAAACCTTGATGCCTAATGTATATTGGGTTTTCCATTGTAGAATATTTTCTGTACCTAAATTGATGGAGTTACTAGCAACATAGGACAAATATTATTGCAGCATTATTTATTGACTGATAAGAGTTGAACTAGAAGCTCAACTGCCACTAGAGTGTATGGTGGTTTATAACTAATCAGATTTGTACAGTTTCCGAATGAGCAAGCTGGACACGGGTAGAATTGATCTTCAGTTGTGTAGTGATGACTGGCATTGTAGGACATGTTGGCTGTGATATTCTACTAACACATTATGTACCTGAGGCCAGATTCACAAATCAGTTATGCAAGTACTTACAAATGTGTACATCTTTCCACAATCTTTGACAGCTGTGGTTACATACATTAAACAGTTTACAAGCATGAAAACTTCCTAATGAACTGTTGTTACTGTAATAAACAGCCTCCTGGTGCTTCCGAGCTTATTAACTGTTTAATAATTCTAAACAAAGCCGCCAAAGATTGAGAAAAGATGTATGGTACAGTACTGGTCCGTAAGTGCTTTCGTAACTGCTTCATGAATCTTGCCCGTTTATTGTTAAATACTGAAGTCCACCAGGTTATTTTTTAGCGAGGAAGTGCATTCTTAAGGCTTATATTAATTATGCGCAACAGTAATTATTATTATATAATATCATATGTAGCCCTTTCCCTTTGGCTAGGGATTAATAGTTTTGATCAGTGAATTATTAATTTTGTATACTTGTTTGTCCTGTTAAATGGACTTGAGTATAACACGTGAAATAGATGAGTAAAGTGTCTTTGAGGAAATATTTCATTTTTTTATTACATTACTTATTTTATCTCTATATATTCATTCACTTTGCTACTTTAATCATCATCAAATTAGACAACTAAAAAGCTTAATATTATTCAGAGATCTAAACCTAAATAGGGTCAACAGGCTTCAAAGTCTAATGCTGCAGCTCAAAATCCATTATATATATTAAGAATTCTAACAACTGTTAATTATGACTATCCAGTTTCAATGTACAGTACTTAAATGTTGATGGTAATTGCCAACAAGAATCAACTGCAAAGTAAATAACAATGAGAAAGATCTTACTTTTTGGAATCAGGAGGTTGTCTTGAGAGTCTTACAACTCTTTGTGCAATCATCTCCAAGATGGTAGCAAGAGTATTGCTGTGACATGGCTGAGGTAGGCTGTTAGGAGCAGGGAGAGAAAACAGTGTTTTTTCTTCAGCAAGTCGACAGAGGGAAGCATGTAAAATAATGGGTTGAAGGTGACTACACACAGTACCAGGACCCATAGATGCTAGCCAGTGGAGAACCTGCTCAGCCTCCCGAGTGTCATCAAACAAGCGCTTCTGGCGTCTAGCTGGAACGGGTTTGGCGTTATTCCATACCTACCGACCAAAGAGATAAAGCAAGACAATTACAAGGATGAAGTGCTAAGCCAGTATGGGTACACAATACAGCACTTGGAAGGGACATGAGGACAAGACAGAAGCTGGGATGAGTACAGTATACTGTACTCTACTCTATATTCATTCATACAATACCTGTCAATAACCTATACTATTCAATGCTCTAAGTCCAAAGGAACCCATCCACCATATGCCAGATAAATATCATGTCAGTCTCGTTTGCTGCAAGACAAGAGAGGAGATAGGCTTATACTGTAGTTCCCTGGTAGGTGGCCAAGATGTAAACAGAGGTGGGTGGTACTATGTCTGGAAAGAGGAGGGGTGAAAGTTTTTTGTAGCCACAAAGCCTTCATTCTCAATCACTACCTGGATATTTCACACAATTTTCATCATATGCTGCAACCAATGATTGTCTTCATAACCATCAAATAGTGCTAACCAAGATTTAATGTTTAACCCTTTAACTGCACAACACATCATATGATGTGTTCAGTGACTTGCAGTAACTTGCGCTCCACATCATATGATGTATTGGAGTACTACACAAGATTTAAATGGCCCGCGGATACACGGGGTTCACCACACCTTCATCAGGGCTCTTGTGAATAGATGCTATTTAAAAAAAAATCATGGGCCAAATTCCCGGGTGAGGGGCCTCAGTATTGAGTGAGCTATCAAGCCTGATGCACGCAGCATGAGCCCACAGCACTGCTGTTCAGCTTGTGATCACAGCACTGCTGTTCAGCTTGTGACCACAGCATCGCCTAAAAATGCCATAATATACATGTTCTTGCTATTATTTAGCGATGATATTATTACAGAAGACCCCTGACTGTGATAAAACAGACCAGGGTTCTGATAATAGTAGGATTGTGGTGATTGGGAGCCACCATTTTGGTGAGGGAGGTGCGTCATCTGCACAACTTATGTTGTTTACTGGTGACCACTATGGTCTTTGGGCACCATACCAGCTTACTTGTACAAGTATGGTGAATAAAACAGGTAGATACTTACATATAATGTGTGTATATAGCGTAATAACACCACAAACAGTATTGTTGGAGGAGAAATATTAGTGCGTCTGGCCTTGAAGGCGGCCGCCACCAGCTGACTGTGTGAGTAGCTACGTCTTTGTGCCTTTACTCACCATACAAGCTTAGATGTACAGTTATGGTGAACAAAACATGTAAATGCTTATATATAACGTCTGTATATAAAAGCAAAAACAGTATGGTGGGAGGAAAATGGTGGCAAGTCAGGTGAGGTGAGGGAGGGAGGGAGTGGCTGCTAGTGGCGGGGTGCCACTGGCTGCCACTGCCACTCAGCATACCAACTTAGTGGTTCGTTATGGTGAACACGAATGTAGATACTTATGCAATAATGGTCACAAAAACACTGATCCAAGTATGCAGAATAACCACATGTGAAAAATAGAAAATGCTTAACGCATTTTCTATTTTTCACATGTGGTTATTCTGCGTAGATACTTATATATAACGTCTGTATATAGTGAATAAAAGAAAAAACAGTATGGTGGGAGGAGAATGTGGGCGAGTGAGGTGTTGAGGGAGTGAGTGGCAGCGAGTGGCTGGCTGGTGTGTACTCACCTAGTTGTACTCACCTAGTTCTGTTTGAGCTCTGGCTCTTTGGTCCTGCCTCTCAACTGTCAGTCAACTGGTGTACAGATTCCTGAGCCAATTGGGCTCTATCATATCTACATTTGAAACTGTGTATGGAGTCAGCCTCCACCACAACACTACTTAATGCATTCCATTTGTTAACTGCCCTGACACCGAAAAAATTCTTTCTAACGTCTCTGTGGCTCATCTGGGTACAAAGTTTCCACCTGTGTCCCCTTGTTCGTGTTCCACACGCGCTAAAGAGTTTGTCTTTGTCCACCCTGTCAATTCCCCCGAGAATTTTGTAGGTGGTTATCATGTCTCCCCTTACTCTTCTGTTTTCCAGGGTTGTGAGGTTCAGCTCCCTTAGCCTTTCCTCGTAACTCATTCCTCTCAGTTCTGGGACCAGTCTGGTGGCACACCTCTGAATCTTCTCTAACTTCGGCTTGTGTTTAACTAGGTATGGACTCCAGGTTGGAACTGCATACTCCAGAATTGGTCTTACATAAGTGGTATACAGGGTCCTGAACGATTCCTTACACAAGTTTCTAAAGGCAGTTCTTATATTGTCCAGTCTAGCATATGCCGCTGATGATATCCTTTTGATGTGGGCCTCTGGGGACAGGTTCGGTGTGATATCGACCCCCAGATCTTTCTCTCTATTTGACTCTTTTAGGATTTCACCTTCCAGATGGTACCTTGTGTTCAGCCTTCTGCTCCCTTCGCCTAATTTCATTACTTTACACTTTTCTGAGTTGAACTTTAGCAGCCATTTTCTAGACCATTCCTCCAGTTTGTCCAGGTCATCCTGTAGTCTCTCTCAATCTTCATCTGTTTTGATTCTTCTCATAATTTTTGCATCGTCAGCAAACATTGAGAGGAATGAGTCTATACCCTCTGGAAGGTCGTTTACATATACAGTGGAACCTCTATTAACGAGTTTAATCCGTTCTGGCACCGAGCTTGTTACCTGGAAAACTCGTCTTAAGAAACAAATTTCCCCATTTAAAATAAAGGAAATAAATTTAATCCGTTCCACTCCCAAAAACATCCATACTTGTATGACATTTTTTAATGTAAATATAATACTGCACATGTAATTATAAATGTTTTGTTGTACTGTTTTAATGTTTACTTTACCTTATGAAGAGTCGTTGCTGGCTTGAGGGAGACGATGGGGAGGTGGGAAGGAGGAGAGGGGTTATGGTGTGGAAGGAGAATCCACCTCTGAGTCAGGCAGGCTCTCTCTTCTTGGGATTTTCACCCCACTGGGACCGGGTTGTGGTTCACTATTACTGGCTCTTCTTTTCTCTACTTTTGGAGAGAACTTTTCTATTGACAATTGCTTTTGTCTTTGTTTTAGGATGTCCCTAAAACAAGACAGCAAATTGTCATTTTACATGTTCACACACTGGGTTGTCACTGCTTGATCAGGGTGATGTCACTGGAAGAGGCAGCATCCTCCCTTACCTCCTCATTCCCTTACTAATGGTGTAAATTGTTGATGAGGACCTGCCATACTCCCTTGTGAGATCAGTCACACAGACACCACACTCATGCTTTGCTATAAATTCCTTCTTCAAATCCACAGTAATTGTATCTTTCTTCCTCTTGACAACACTATCTTTAGCAAGCAGCTTCTTTGGAGACATCGTGTGTTACAAATTGTAGTCGCAAAACCACTAAAAACCCAAAGAAAAGCACAAATAAATCCAGAGGGATGCTTGTCGTGTGAGATTCAACAACAACACTGGCGTCGGAGGCGTCCGAGAACCCGCGAGACACTAGGAAGCACCATGTGGTTTCGCTTGTTAATAGCGGCGAGCTTGTCAATAGAGACAAATTTGCTGCGAGTGGCTTGCTCGTTACTGGAAAAACTTGTTAATAGAGCCACTCGTTAATCGAGGTTCCACTGTACTAGAAACAGGATGGGTTCGAGTACAGAGCCCTGTGGGACTCCGCTGGTGACATCTCGCCACTCTGATGCCTCCCCCCCTCACCGTTACTCGCTGTTTCCTATTGCTTAGATACTTTCTTATCCACTGGAGCACCTTACCTTTTACTCCTGCCTGTTGCTCCAACTTTTGTAACAGCCTTTTGTGAGGTACTGTGTCAAAGGCTTTCTGACAGTCCAAGAAAATGCAGTCTACCCACCCTTCTCTTTCCTGCCTAATTTGTGTTGCTTGGTCATAGAATTCTATTAGGCCTGTGAGGCACAATTTACCATCTCTGAACCCATGGTGGTGGTGTGTTACAAAGCTGTTTCCCTCCAGATGCTCTACGAGCCTTTTCCTTGCAATCTTCTCCATCGCCTTGCATGGTATACAAGTTAGGGAAACTGGCCTGTAGTTCAGTGCCTCTTGCCTGTCACCCTTTTTGTAAATTGGGACTACATTAGCTGTCTTCCAGCTTTCCGGAAGGTCTCCCGTTTCCAGTGACCTGTTATACACCATAGAGAGTGGCACACTTAGTGCTTCTGCACCTTCTTTTAGAATCCATGGTGAGATTCTGTCAGGCCCAACAGCCTTTGACACATTCAACGCCAACAGATTCCTTTTGACCTCATCACTGGTGAGGTAAATTTCCTCCAAGGTTGTTCGGTTTGCCTCCTCATTTAGTGTAGGGACCTCTCCTTGTTCTATTGTGAAGACCTCCTGGAATCTCTTACCGAGTTCTTCACACACCTCTTTGTCGTTCTCTGTGTATCTGTTCTTCCCTTTTCTTAGTTTCATCATTTGTTCCTTCACTGCTGTTTTCCTCCTGATGTGGCTGTGGAGCAGTTTTGGTTGGGTCTTAGCTTTACTCGCGATGTCATTTTCATACTGCCTCTCTGCTTCTCTCCTCACTCTGATGTACTCATTTCTGGCCCTCTGTTATTTCTCCCTGCTCTCTGGTGTTCTGTTGTTCCTGTATTTTCGCCATGTTCTTTTACATAATTGCTTTGCTGCTGCACATTCCTGGTTGAACCACGGATTCTTCTGTTGCTTTTCATTTTTCCCTTTTTGGACTGGGATAAACCTGTCTGCAGCCTCCTGACACTTCTGAGTGACATAATCCATCATATCCTGTACAGTCTAATCTCTGAGTTCTGTTTCCCATGGTATTCCCATTAGGAAGTTCCTCATCTCGTCATATTTTCCTCTTCGGTAATTTAGTCTTTTTCCTTCTAATCCCATCCTTGGATAGGTTATCCCTACTTCTACCAGATACTCAAATATCAATACACTGTGGTCACTCATTCCTATGGGGGCTTTATATTTGACTTCCCTTATTTCTGAGCCATTTAAGGTGAAAATCAGGTCGAGTCTAGCTGGTTTGTCATTTCCTCTCATTCTTGTGGGCCCCTTGACATGTTGGCTC